CCTCCTTCACAATGGAATAGAACATGGAACCCTGACAGCAGGCCACGGTAACTCACAGTTGGCTCAAGCCAGCTCACTTGGCCTGTGACTCAGGAGCCAGAAACATGTTCTTGTGCTGTATTCACAGGTCTCGAGACTCTGGTCTCAGCCAAGAGAAGTATGAGTGCCTCAGTCAAAGCTGTAGACACTGGATCAGTGGCAAGCCACGAACCAACCATCTCAGAGATTTGTCCAAAAAGAAACCTAGGAAATCACAAGGCAACTCAGGCAAGGTATACTCATGATAGAAAACCTACTTAACCCCAATCCAGCCCAAAGTTGAACCTTCTTATGTGATTTGTTTATTCTGAGATAATGCTTTCTGAATAGTTTTCAATCCACTCTATCAGAGTTACTCATTTGGAAGTGTTCTCATTTCCATGTTTTTTTCTGATTCTTTTTCCCACCATAGTGTGCCAATGAGTCAGCCCTGAACCTGAATGTGCCATGCAATATATGGAGCCCGGAGGCAGGCCTGCTGGACCTGCTGGTGATGAACCTGGTCCCTGCCTACCAGAAAGGCGATCTCTTCTATGTTGGGAACTTCCTCCACAATTATAGACAGTGGGCGACAATGGAGCAAGTGCTGGCTATTGTGTTTAAAAAGTGAGTGTTCCCCTTCCAACCCAGGGCTCTGCAGCCCTTCCTGGCTGAGTTGTGGAATACTTGGCACCCCTCTGAACCTGTTGATTTCATGGGGGTGTTCTCATAGGAACTTGGCATGAGACAAAGAAGTCCATACCCTGCCTAGTTTCTTAGTAGTGGTCTGCCCAGGACATTTCCCAGAAAAGCTACTGGAACCTCAGAAGCTTGGTTACAGAGGGGCTAGGATTACAGGCATGTGCACAGGCACCCAACTCCTGCCCACACCTAGGTGACATTCCAGGAAATCGCATTTCCCATTAGGAAATAAGGTTTCATTAGCAACTGGATGTCTGTGAATAATGTAGACCCAAGACAGACTGGGTGTGGGGAAGGCGGGTGAACTGGAGGCTGAATCACCTCAGAGACCTCAGGGAGGGATTATGTTGGCTTTACATATTTATAACCCCTGAAGCTTTTTTGTTTCTGTGTGTGTGCCAGTCCTGCAACCTGAACTCAGGGCCTGAGTACTGTTTCTTTGGTGCTCAGAGCTACCACTACAGCATTTGAACCATAGGTGCAATTCTGGCCTTTGAAAAATTAGTGTCTTTAGACTTTTATTGACTAATGTCTGATCAGACTGTGCACCTCAGATCTCATATTGTTCCTGATGAGCTAGAATTTGAGGTATTAGCCACTGGCACATTTTCCTTGGACCAAATGCATATACCTCTCATAGAAGAATTTTTACTGAACTGTGTAGACATATCTCACTTGTTTATGTGTCAGATTCCATCCCCGTCTGGGAATGAGCCCATCCCATATGTGTCCTGTTTGTGCAGAAAAGGAGAAGAAGAGTTGTGACTTCCTCCTGTCCTCCCATAGGTATAGATTCCCGGGCCGTAACTTCGAGGAAGATGAACAAGTAAAGAAGTAAGTGGACTGTGGCCCAAAGAAAAGGCCCCTTCTTTCACAATGGAATCTTTGAGGCTTCTGATTCAAAGTGCAGATTTCTCATTTGCACACCACTTGTGCTTTGCACTAGAGGCAGAGGCTTGGGATTGGCATGGTGGCAGAGGACACAGCTGTGGTGTGGTTGTGGACTCTCAGGGATG